GTTCTAAGCCTCGCACAGGAATACGTCTTGGTGCCTCCAACTTCCCACCTCGCCATGGATTTAGGGTTTAGGGTTTAGGGTTTCGGGTTTAGGGTTTAGGGTTCAGAGTTTCGAGCCTTTAGGGCTTTAGGGTTTTTGTGGTTTAGAGTTTAGGGGCCTATGCTTTTGGGGCTTTGGCTTTCGTATGGCTTTCAGGAATACAAAGGGGCTCCTAGAGGCTCGGGCCTGCAGGGCTTCTACTCATAAGAGCCCTTGAAGTCAAGGGGGTTCGGAAGCTGTATCCTCGAATTTTGCCAGCGTAACCAGTGCAACCCATCTATACACGACAAGCCGTATACAATGTAACACATGTTTTGGATATGCTTTCCTGGTTTGCAGGTGTAAAAAGAAACAGTCTAGGTAAGGCTTCCAGTAGAGCTTTGATGTTTTAGGTTGAAGCAGCCAGAGACCTGAAGCTGGCACAAAGAGGCGGCGCTGAGGCCCGTGCAGTTCGACCTGCACGCATCAATGAATGGCTTAGGGTTTCGGGCTTTAGCGGGCTTTGAGGGGCCCTATCATGGGTCCTGTAACGGCTAGGTTTATAGCGCTGAGTACAGAGCTTCAGGCGGTCACAGCCGAGTATTGATTGAGTGCCGAAGTGCCCTGATCACAGGAGTTGAAAATTTCATAGGGGTTCCATCAAAAGGGCTGAGGGCTTGGCCTTTTTCTGAGACCGTTTCCATGTTAAACACAAACCCTAAGCCCCAAACCCTAAACCCTACACCCTAAATTCCAAAGCCCTAAAACCGCAAGTCTCAGCAAACTTTGCCTCGACTTCCACTGACCGAAAGTCAATGTCCACCTGGGCAGCAGGAGAGTCACAGAAGCTTTGGCGGTTAAAGCCTGAGAAAAATAACCTCATAGCCTGATTGTCATGTGCCACGGCCGTTGAATTCCTGCTGCATTATGTCGATCCGCTTTGAGTGTGTAGCTACTGTAGTTGATGCCTTTGCTGCCCCTTCTGGCTTGCGGTCTCTCAGCATTCTCGGCTTCAGGGTACAAATAAATTCGTGATGGTGTTTACACGCGTCTTTTCCTGGGGCCATTCGGGGGTTTACAATTCCGGCCTGACAAAAGAAGCTGACTGGTGTATACAGAGAGGGGGAGGGGGTCCCGCAGAAAGAAGCAGAGTTACAAGGTCCTTAAGTGCCACTTACACAGGTTATCAACTAGACTAAGTTCTTCTTCTCCCAGCTTTCCAAGATCTGTGCATCCGCTGGGGCCCGGGCCATTTCCCGCGTAAGGGACAAGCTGCAACCGCAGGTCCACTCCTCTCCCAGAGCAGAAGTTACAGGGCCGTAGGACATTGTCCGTGGTGAACAAGAAACAAAAAATGTGCGTTTCAAAAAGAGAAAGGGAGTAAACAGTCGTGTATAGGACATGGTGAAGAATGTAGAAAGACATGCTTTTCAGAAATATACATAAGAGAGTAGACAGTCGTGATGGTGATGATCACGAGAAGTATCCTACAAGCCTAGTGACCGCGACAATGCAACTGTTGTGAGTTGAACCTTTCTGCCTCCGGACAATGGCAGCTGTAGAGTTAAGGGGCCCGTGTCGGGGTCTGCATGACTTCTATGATTTCGGGTTGCTTCTGGCAACCTTGTAAGCCAACAAGAGCCCATGCCTACAGGGTTCAGTTGTTTTTTTCAACTAGCTTGGATACAGCACCCAACGCCCAAAAAGCCCACAACAAGCCCCCTCTAATTGAGGAATACATGCCCTTAAAAGCATGCTAAGGACTCTCAACAGATACCCTCATAAGTACGACCCTTAAAGAAGCCCTATGCCCAAAATAGTATTTTTTTCGCCCAGCGATGCCGAGCGTGGTTGACAGAGAGCTGGCTTCGGACTCGTCTTAAGTCGCAGCCCTCTCGGGATGCACCGACCTTTGACATTTTCATGGCATGTCATGGCGTGTTGTGGCCTGCTGGGAACTCCGACACTGATCACCCACTGATGCTAAGGTTTGGAGTTTAGGGTTTGCGGTTTAGGGCAGCAAGCGTTTCACTCGTCAGCCACCGAGCATTGGCTTCAGCCTCGGTCACACTGCGGACCCTCAAACCCCGAAAGAGCTCAAGGTTTAAGTCCCTTTGTCGGAATGAGCGGTCCGGGTCCCCTCTGAGGTGTAGAGCCCTTCGCCGTTCCGCGGCACATCTCGTACAAGCATACCTAAGACAACCTTTCTTCCGTAGGCGCTTGGCAAGTGCCGGTCCAGTCCCGTCTTTGTCGCCCGAAGGCCGACAAAGCCAGGCAAGAGCCCAACAACAACACGAGACACCCAAATCAAACCCTAAAAAGCCACGCTGAACCCCAAACCCAAGCCTCAACGCTCAGTCTCACCCAAAAAACAAACCCCAAAAACTCCACAATGCCCAAAACACAAATCCCAAATCCGGAAACACTGAAACCAAGCCCACAAAAGCTTTAACATGAATGCCCTAAACTCAAAAAAAGCAAAGCCCAGAACGTAAACCCGACAACTCTAAACGCCACACCCTAAAACCACAATCTCCAATTAAACCCCCAACCCCAAAAACACCAAAACAAACCCAAATCCGAAAACCCTGAACCCCCAAAAGTCAAAACTTAAACCCAAACCACAACGCCAATCACCCAAACCCCTCGAAAGCCCTCACCCTCCGGAACCCTCACCCTTAAACCCCTAGACTCCCAAACCCCAAACCCCAAAACCCTCAACCCCCATACCCGAAACCTCCAACCTCGAAACTCTGAAAAAGCCCTGAAGACCCAACACCATAAAACCCCAACACGCCAAAAACCCAAACCTGAAAACACCGAACCCCCAAAACGAAAACCCCTAAACCCCTCAACCCCCAGGCCCCAAACCCGAAGACAGCGAAAATCCTCGAAAGCCCAAAGCAGCCAGAGTGCATGCCCGCCGCCCAGCTGAGTGCATCGTCGGCCTCAGCCGCCGGCTGAAGGCTCCTTTGGGGTTCGGGGCTTGGTGTGGTGTAGGGCTTAGGGTTTGGCAAGGTTTAGGAGGGTTAAGCAGGGTTGAGTAGGGTTTAGCTAGGATGGCTTCAGGTTTGGGGAGGTTTAGGGTTTTGGGGCTTAGTGGGGTTTAGGGTCTAGGTCTGCTTTCTTTGCGAGGGGTTCGGGGGGTGGTGCGGGTCAGGGTTTGGCACCTAGGGATTCGTCCTGCCTTAAGTACTATATGCCATCTTAAGAAGGACAGTCAGAGTTTGAGGATTTGGGGTGCAGGGCTTAGGGCTTGAGGTTCATATAATATACATCCACTTGTATGTTCCTTCGTCCCCCTTAACTCCCTGCAAGCTACCCTCCGTCGACTCTGCCCCCCGAAACCTTCCTTCCAAGCCTGAAACCCTGATCCGTAGGCACGTCTCCTCAGCGTAGTCTCATTGGAGGCCCTGTCGGCCACCAGGCAGACAGCCTGGGATCGAAGCTCAGGGGCCCAGGGCTTCCCAACACAAGCCTCCGGTCTAGGGTTGCAAGGGCTTAGGGTTTTGGGTTTAGGGTATATACTTGCATCCGACCGAAACACAGTAGGAGTGGGAGTGGCTGGGATTGAGGCAAGGGTTGAGTTTGGCAGGGTGCGGGATTTAGGGTACCGCAACGGCACTTGCGCCACTGTGCAGAGGGCAGAGGGCGGAGGCTTGAGCAAACCTGGAGCTTGAGAAGACCATGGCAAGACCCCCCGACCATGAGCCGCTGAAGCACAGAAACGCCTCCCCGACCATAAAAACCTGAATCGCAACCCTCCCTAAATCCATGAAAATCCCCTTGCGGCAAAACCCCGTAGACCCTGAACCCAATAATTACCCGAAACCTAAACCCCAACAAACCCCAAACCCTAAGCCCCAAGAAGCCATCTCAAAAGAAAACCTAACCCCTGCAAACCCCCCAAAAAAACCCCAAACCCCTAAACCCGAAACTTCAATGAACCCCCTAGCCCCTAAACCCCTACACCCCCAACGAAAAGCCCCCGAAATCCTAAACTCGCAGCCCCGGGCGCCGCTCGTCGCTCCTCGCCGCAGTCTCCCGGGAAGTCGAAGCGTTGCACCGCGGCGCCCGCCTGGCAATCTTTGTTGTGGGGGTTTGGCAGGAAATCAACAGGGTGTTTTTTTGGGGTTTTGGGCTTTAGGGCTCTAAGGTTTAAAGCTATAGGTTTTAGGGTTTAGGGTCTAGGCAATGTGGCTGACATTTGAGACTTCACGGGCTTGGGGACTAGCGGTAGATGGTGCTTTGCTGCCTTGTAGATTGCTTTGTACTCTACTATACGACATTCTTGTAGGCAAGAAGCTGGAAATAGTACGCACCCAAACTTGCTGAAAGGGTTCTGAGCATCTTGGCTTGGTATCTGGGCCTTTCGCCTACAAAGGTAAGAGCTGCAGGGATGTCCTAGATTTCAGGTTTCAAGGTTAGGGAACTAGGGTTCAGGGCTTGGGGTAGGGTACTGTGAGTGTTTTGGGTGTTTTAGGGCTTCAAAGGTTCAGGAAAGCCAAAACCAAGCCCAGGCCCAGAGCGCTCAAGCACCCTCAAATTGGCGCGAGGGCTTCGTCGCCCGCAGAACTGTCGGAATGGCAAGATGTATGGTAGAAGCAGGGGGGCGGGCCCATGCCCTACCTCTGGAGTAGACCCAGAAAAAAAGTATATACGTTTTAGGTATAAGTAGCTATAGTGGGAACCCAAAACCAAAAAAAGTATTAAAGTATAGTACTCCAAAGCCCAGATGCTTTAAGCGCTCTCCAAAGAGCTGACAGACAAGCTGTCCATAAGGCGCTCTCCATCCGAGTATCTCGTGCGAGAGACGCCTCTCTTGAAATGCCGTGCAGGTGAAAGTTGCGACCGGGGGCCGACTCTGAATGGCAGGTTGTGATTGGGACGCCGAATGTTTGGCTTTGCTACCACCACGATCGGATGAGGCGAACGCTAGATAGGGCCCTCTATGGGATTATGGGATGGGATTCTGAAAAAGCTCATTCAGAGTCCCGGGGCCGCCCGAGCATTGTCCTATCATCATCGTCGGAAGCCCTTTGGGCCCGGCCCGAGCGGATGCTCCAGGCATCGTTGACGTAGAGCCGGCAGAGAAGGAACAGGAACAGATTCACGGAGAAGAGGCCGGCGAAGATCGTGGCTTCACTTGTGGGCGAGGTGCCGCACGCCGTTTGGGTGAAGAGCAAGGCGAGGAGGGCCAGCAGGGCCGTCTCGACGTATCGATAGAAGTTGGCAGAGGGGTTGAACTTCCATGCCCCGTTCGGATCAATGTCGCTGCGGACTGCAGCGCCGCAAAACATAGTCAAGTGGTTGATTGGAAAGTTGACGCAATCCGCATGAATACAAAAAAAGGCTACCCCACACAGGAGCGGGCCCAGGCCCAGCAGGGCCCCAGCCCAAGGCCTCAGGGGGTCCACGAAGGCCATGGCCACGGCCCCTGTTCTCGTTGCTAAATCGGTGGCCCAAAACAGAGTGAACAAGGCCTTGGAGCAGGGGCCGCCGGGGTGGGCAAATACATCTGGGTCGAGTTTCTGCGTCATGTCCATCAAGGAGTACCCCAGGGCGAGGCAGGATACCACGAAGGAGCCCACCTTGAACAACTGGCCGTGCGCCCCAAGTCGATACAGCACATAGCCTTGGAAATAGGCCTGCGGCACTGACTCCAGGCACTTGGTGCTCAGGTCTTTGAACAGCCTCCTAGAAATCACATCATGCTCATCAGTCACACGTGCTGCTTCTGCAAAATCGAACAAGTCGCCGAGCTGCAGCACTGCGACCAGAAACCAGCCGCAGCGCGAGCATGGCCCATCAACCCTTTTGTTATATACCCAAATGAAAGCGGGGACCACCGTGGAGACGAGCAGCATGGAGCCGGCGATGCCAAACCACCACCAATGCGGCCGACACACGAGCTCCAGAGGAGGCTCCGAATGCTCGGCCTCGGTGGTCGCATTGGTGGCGTTGCCAGCCGCCGGCTCCGCACCTGCGCAGGGCAGCTCCAGGTTGTTGGGGATGAAGCAGCCATACCTGGAAAGAGGAGACATATAGAAATTGCAAGAAGGGCCGGGGGAGGCAGCGCTGAGCAGACAATTCAGTCACACGCGGCTACAAGAAATCCCCTCTGCACAACCTTACTTGTGCTGGGCTTAGACCCACTTTTACGAGATGCTCCAGCACCACAACCACGTCGGTCCAAAAGTCTAGCCTGTGGCTGGCAGATGGGGTGAGGACTCATACAAGTCCGTGCAGGCTTTTGCTAGGAGGCCAGAGACGCTAGCCTCTGGCATGCTTGCTTTTGAGCTGGTTGGACTATACTAGTGTAGATACGGTAATCGCATATGTGGTAATTTAGACCAAAGGTATACCCGAAATTCTACAACATAAAACTGCAGCCCAGGCGCTGGTTCAACAGGAGCGCAAAGAGCATGGGGCCCAGAAGCTTGGCCTTCTGCATCGACACCATGGCGCGCAGTCACCGGACTTTCTGGTCTCCTCAGACAGCTTTCGTGGGCCTTCCTGCAGCCGAGACTGGACCTTGCGTTCAGGTTTTGCTTAGAGAAACCTAAGCCCTATAGAAACCCTACGAGCCCGAAACCCTATCAGTCGCAAAATCTCGAGCAGGATGCCTTGACGGCTTCCGCCAGGGCCCTCGCTGGGCCACGCAGCACCTCAGTAGACACACTAGTAGCGTCTGTGGAGGGTTTAGGGTTTAGAGTTTATGGTTTAGGGCTTACGGTTGACGGTTCATGGCGAAACCGGACAGTTCACCTGTCGGTGCTGCAAAATATACCCAAAGCAGCAAAGATAAGTTGAAGAACTGGGCGAGCGGGAGCAAAAGCTTTTGTCATTGGCAGCTCCAGAAAACAAGTTCAAGGGTAATGATGCAAACCCTCCGGCACCACCAGCGCCATCCTCTGCACCTACCAAGGACCAAGAAGTGCCCACAATCCTCAATTCCAGCATGCTAGTTTATAGGTAGTTGGGTCCTCTAATCTGCAATTCTAGTGTTAGTTTGTAGGTAGTAGAGAATTCTAGAGGTTAAGAAATCCCAAAACCTCAAACACTGAAAACTCTGCCAAAAGCTGCGCGGCCCAGTAGTTGGGAAATCTACACGTTGTGAAACCCCCCCCCCTTGAACACCCCAAAACACAACAACTAAACCTAACTATAAACCCTACCCCCCCCCCGCCCAAAAAAAAAAACAAAAAAAGATGGCAAGGGCCGAAGGTTCCGAAAACTCTGCAGCCCGGCAACGAAGAAGGGCGCCCGGGAGGCAAAGGTCTCGAAACCCAACTCCTGGTGCATTTGGCTTAGGGTTCCTTTAGGGGCTTAGGGTCAAACGGTTTGGGGTTTTAAGTAATTATGCTTTATAATTGGTTCTGAGGGTTGAGGGTTGTGTCTTTACTAAGGGTTTCAGGGCATGAGGGCTTCAGGTTAGGATCCAAAAGCTACACATCCTACGTGTTCCATTCCCGAGGTGGGCTTGCGTGTGCGTTTGTGTGCGTGAATGTGTGAATGTGTGAAACACTAGTGGCGTGGCCATCTTGACACTTACATCCTTTTGCAGCATTGCTTTCGAGGTGGCTTTGAGCAGTCGGCAGGTCGATTTCTTGTGCAGGGAGTGCTGGAGGAAGTTCGGGAACAGTGCTGAGGCCGAAGCACCCGAGACTCTGAGAGCTCCAGGTCAAACAGGCATGTGGGTTTCAAATGCACCCCCACCCCAAACCCTGGACCTTAAACCCTAAACCCTAAACCCTAAACCCTAAACCCTAAACCCTAAACCCTAAACCGTGTCCACAGACCAAGGAGTCGAGCCTCCAGCTGCTCCCGCAGCCACTGCTGCTCTTCCTCATAGAAGAGCCGGACCTGTCAAGCATGGTGGTTTCGGGTCCAAGGTTCAGAGTGAGGGGTTTCACCCCGACTTAAAAACAATAAGCTGCCCTGCACCAAGAGCAAACGACCGATCATTTAGAGAACTGCACCAAGTGTGTTTGAGAAGTTGTCCTCTGAGCAAGGAATCGGGCAACAAAAGGAGACCTTCAAGGAACACCATAAGCCCGAAGCCCCACACCTCAAGCCCCTGAGCCCTCGCTTAAAAGCGCCTGTGCAAGTCGGCACCAGCCACACACTCATCCACACAGCCATGACAATCATCGTTCCAGGTCTGCCCCCTCAAGTGAATGAAGAGACCTCCATGAATTGCGATGAACTCTTATAAATGCTTGGGACCCCACGAAGAATCCCCTGGTGACAAATACCCTTATACGGTAGGCATGGAAAAACGAGAGCAGAAAGCTTGAAGGACTCGTACACTTAAACTCACCACCGAGATCTTGACTCCCGCGAGCATGCGGAGAAAGCTGGTTAAAAACAAAAAACACTAATGTTGCACCTGCTTTTGTAGGGGCCCCCTCTAGAAGGTCAAGTTGCATGGGCTATTCAGCGCACCCTGACTGTTTGGGGGTGCATACCAGGTCCCTCTTTAAAGTCAAATCGTCCGGGTGTCGTAAGACAATTCCGCGCGGCGCGCCTTTAAAATCAATTGGCATCGCTGTCCCTTTTAAACTCGTACAAACTCCTCCTCCCTATTGAAACCATATAAAACCCGTGGACCGTGTAAACAGGGCGAAAACTCATTAGCTGCGACTGTTCCCGGGAAGGGTGGGGGGGGGGGGGGGGGGGGGTTTCACACACTACAGAGTGCAACATTACATCCCAAACCCTAGTCCTGAAGTGCTAAACTTAACTTACCAAACCCTAACTCCCAACCCTAAATTACTAAAATCACATCTGCAGCGATGAAGGGTAAGCTGCCTGTCGGCGGTGCTCGGGAGCGGCAGGGGCACGGAGGGCGGCCAATGCGCCTCTTGGGGGCTTCGGGGTTGGGGTTTAGGGTTGGAAGGGTTTATAGTTGGGTTCGGGGTTGAGGCTAAACAGACCTCAAACCAAATTTTCCCAACTTAGCGCAAACACATGTCGTACCTGAACTCAAAGTTCTGCAGGACTGGCCGCGATCAAAGGTTCGTGCACCTAAGGTGGGCACACTTCTAGTGACTTCGGGGACCAAGTGTCATTAGGTACATGGACTCTTAGAGGCAGCCAGAGCACTCCAAGGGGTATTGCGAGACCTTCAATGAAATCCCACACCCCTGACGAACCCGAAGCCAACGCTTTTAACGCTCACCTAGGGATCCTATACAGGGCACTAGTCAACAGTAGCATCACAAGTAGAAATAGCCTCCAGTAGAAACAGGTTTCGGTTGTTTTTGCCTCTAGTTTCGTACTGGAAGAAGGTTCTTCGGTTCATCTGCACACCCCCCCCCCCCCCCCCGGCACTGAAACCCAAGAGCCCTGGAGCCTAAACCTGAAACGATCTCATCAAGCCATATGTTCGCCAAAACACCCGTCTCAGTAGGCTATAGCTACAACCACCCCTTGCGGGATTCTTAGGCACACTAGAATCACCCGGGATGCTTACACGCAGGTAGGTTTTCGGCTCCGAGGCCTGCCAATGCCAGCTCCGAAATGTAGAGCTGCCCTGCGAACGGCAGGCCTTCCTCATGGTCAAGCACAAGGAGGGTAAACCCTAAACCCTGAATCTGGGCCTTTCTTTGAGATCAAGGGTGCAGAGGCTACTCCAGTAAATCGAACCCCAACTGGGACTAAACGCTAAACCGATTCTAACCCGAAGGATCCATGGTCCGACTACACGATGCCTGTAAAATGATAAGAGCCGTTTATGGTTTGCGGTTTAGGGTCGGAATTGAGCCCTATCTCTAGACCCTAGACAACCCATGCACTGCTTTCGGGCCTAAGTCTACCTGCTTCAGTTTCTGACGCTCAAGAAGAAGCACCTAAATCCTCCGAAGAGACGCCCAGGGTGCTGAAATAGCCCCTGACAGCCTTAAACTCCGAACTAAAGGGGGCGGCCCCAGGCAAACCCCAGACCCCAACACAGAACCCTCCCTACCCTAAGAACCAAAAAACCTACTTGTTGTAGGTTACTGGTACCTAAGAATCCTACAAGGGATATTGTTGTCCGCCGACCCCTGCTTTAGCGGGGGAGGCGTCAGTGAAGACCCATTTGCCCTCATGCCCAAACCCCCCCGCCCTCACCCCCTCGACCTCACCCTTACCCTCTTAGGGGCTCCAGCGCATGCCCCCCCACCTCCCCCCTAACCTTTTACTTGGAAATGAAGTGTTTTAGGGGCTCCAGTGCATGCCTGGACCCCCCTTCTCACCCCTTCGCCTCTGCCCCCAACCTTGCCCCCCCCTTACCCCCCACCTCACCCCTACCCCTGACCTTTTACTTGGAAATGAAGTGTGTCAGGGGTTTAGGGCATGCCCGGACCCCTACCCCCCACCTCACCCCTACCCCTTGCCTTTTGCTTGGAAATGAAGTTTTTGAGGGGCTGCAGTGCATGCCCGGACCCCCCCCGCCCCCCCCCGCCCACCCCGCCCACCCCGCCCCGCCCCGCCTTCACCCCTTCACCTCTGCCCCCAACCCCCCCCACCCCCCCGCCATCACCGCTTACCCCCCACCTCACCCCGGTTCGGCTCTCCTGGTTAAGGGGGTTGAGGGTTTAGTAGTTTGGGGTTTAAGGGTTCAGGGTTTCGAGTTTAAGGTGTGAGGTTTAGGGTTTAAGGTTGCGCGCCAACTCCCTGCGCGTGAAGACTCAATGTTTCGCCCCCCCTGAACTCTAGAACCTATGGATATATGCAAGCGCAATGTAGGGGGTGTTTGTGTAAACCCTAGGGCCTCCTGTCGGGGTCGGCGGCATTGGCGGTAGCCATTAAATCGGGCAGCGCGAGGTCCCCAAAGGACCGAGCAAATGCGGACCTTTTAGCCCGGGTCGTCCCGGGAATAGCCTTGCTGGCCTCTGGCCTTCTGCGAAGCAGAATTAGGCCGGACGCCAGTGCCGCCGACCCCCGCGTGCCGCCGGTGAACGGTTTTTTTTTCGTGGTTTTTTGCGTCGCCACGGAGGCCCCCAGAGGGCGCGCATCATGAGCATCAGCGGGTCCAGCCCGGGACCCCCAGGCGCGCATCAGGAGCATCAGCGGCTCCCGGGGCGGGACCGCGGGGGGGCATCAGGAGCATGATGCCCCCCAAAGGGCGGGCATAAGCGACGTGTCTAAGCCCGGGGCTAGGAAAAAGGGAGTTTAGGGGCCTTATAAAGTGCTTAGAAACGTTAAGGGAGTCTAGGAGCCTCAAACGCTTAGAGATTTGAAGGGAGTTTAGGGGCCTGAAAATGCTTAGAAACTTAACGCTTAGAGATTTTAAGGGAGTTTAGGGGCCTCAACATGCTTAGAAACTGCTCGCCCCGGGCTTCTGCGTGCGCTGCCCGCCCATGGGCGCAGCCCCTTAAAATACTAACCTCAAGCTGAACATCTTGAACCTCAAACCCTACAACCCTAAACCCTAAGACTTAAACCCCAAACCCTAAAAACACAGGCCCCAGGTTC